TTCATTTCTAGAAGTTCCATCTGGCTCTTTTCCAAATCTGCTAGGTCATTCATGCTTTCTTTTTCCCTACAGCTCCACACTTGTCTTTTTATTCCTTTAAACAAAGTAAGCACGATTGGGGTAGAGTCTGACCCTGACAGTTCTGACTTTCTGAGCCTGTTTCTGCTGTGGGTTGCAGCTGCTGGTGCCCGCCTGTGGCGCCTTGCTCATTTTTCACTGTATGCTGGTCGCTGTCCTTGAACAGTTGTTTATGGGCTCCTTAAAGCCTAGGATAAATGCCCTTCCTCCAGAGGATATGCATTTGCTCTGCCAGGCACCGGGGAGGACTACAAGTGTAGGGATCCCCGAGAATTGAGGTCATAGAGGGAGGTTTCCTCATACTATCAACAGGGGTGCGTTCTGGTCCCTGTCCCTCAGTTCTCAGGAACAAGACTTTCATTTTATCCCCCATGCTCTGCTTGGTGCTGGAGCCACCTTCCCCGCAGCCTTCTGTTTTTACTGAGGGTGTATGTTAGTCTTTGACAAAGCAAAATAGAGAGGGGGTCTCCTAGTAGACCCTTACCTTGAACCCTTAACCCCTGAGACCCTCAGGGCAAAGGGCTTCAGTGCACCTTAGCTGCCTCTTGGTTGCTGCCCCCGCTGCCCCCCCCCTGCCGCCAGCATTTGACCTGGAAGTTCTTTACAACCTGTTGGCTCTTCCATACTTCAGGATATTTCTGCATTTTATCCAGCATTTTTAGTTAAAGCAGAAAGGTTGGTCTGAAAGATCCAGCCCATCATGACCAGAGATAGAAGTTCTACCATGCACTTTTTTTTTTTTTTAAAGATTTTATTATTTATTTATTTGACAGAGAGAGACACAGCGAGAGAGTGAACACAAGCAGGGGCAGTGGGAGAGGGAGAAGCAGGCTCCCCGCTGAGCCGGGAGCCCGATGCGGGACTCGATCCCAGGACTCCGGGATCATGACCCGAGCCGAAGGCAGTCGCCCAACCAATTGAGCCACCCAGGCGCCCCATAGATACGTGTTTTTAAATTTTACATATTTATCGATAATTTTGATAGATGTTGTCCTGACAACATTGTGCCAATTCAAGTATCATCACCCAAGAATAAAAGTGCCTGTTTCCCCACCACTCTGTTGTATCAAAGATCCTTTTAGTTCCAAATTTCAGAGATGCCCAGTTAAAACTGGCTTACAGGGGAGCCTGGGTGGTTCAGTCATTAAGCGTCTGCCTTCGGCTCAGGTCATGATCCCAGGGTCCTGGGATCGAGCCCCGCAT